CCCCCCACGGTTTTTCCCCCCCCGGGCCTTCTACGGGAGGTGTGCCTCCCCGATCCAACCCCCCCCAGACTCGGTGGGTTGGGTGGGGAATTCTGGGAGTTGAAGTCCACACATCTTCAAGTTGCTAAGGTTGAGAAACACTGCACTAACCAAAGCCAGCTGTGCTCCAGCAGGAATCTGCTTTCAGTACAAGAACTGGGGCCTGAATGCAAATCCACCCATTTGTGCTTTGGGCCCCCTGATTATTCTAGGCCTGTTGTCGCTGCAATTGTTCAATCTCCAGGGGCTGGAAATCCCGGTGTGTTACTGTAAAACACCTGGAAACCTTCTGGCAGATTTTGCTTAATTTTGACTCCTTGCCAAAAATAAAAAGTGTGTGGGGGGGGTCTTCCCCAAATACAGTATTCTGTGGATGTGTACGGACTTCACCTCCCCAAACTCCCCAGCCAGCTGGGCCACTGCTGAGAATTTGGGGAATTGGGCCATCTGTTTGGAGAGCCTCAAGATTAGGGGGGGAAAAAAACCTTGGTTGAGCTTTGCATGGTTTTAATGGCTAAATACTGGCAAGGCAGTAATATCTCATATTCACTAAATGGATAATTAGATTACACAGTGGGATTTTGCTCCCCTGGCGCTCTCCTGCTATGTCCATCCGAAAACATAGAGACAAAAGCGACTTGAGGGGGAAAAAATGTCAGTGTTTCAAACTCTTCTGGAAGGGTACACAATAAATTGCAATTATTTTGTATGATTTTACCTCCTGCAATGTTGTGCAAAGGCCTGCCTTACTGGATCTCACTCTAGGGCTTCCTTTAACGTAAACCAGGCAGGAGAGGTGAAACCATTCATTCATTCATTAAGGCAATTCCTTCTCTAGGGCAGATGTCAGGTTCACGCTGATACGGTTGGGTTAGATTTTTGATGGCACAAGCAATTTTTTTTTCTTAAAAGGAATTCTCTGCAGCGGGCGGAGAGGAAAGGCTGTTTTTCAGGTCCCTTCCGGCCACGATCCCCAACGGGGGACGAGCGACCGAGAACGGCCACGCGGTGGCAGCATTTCTTCCCTCGGAGGGCAGAGGGGGGAGGGGGTCAAAGGGGAAGGGGGTCCTCACCTGTCTGCCATCTGGGGAATGATGTAATGCCCGTTCTTGTGATCTGCATGGAAAGACGGGGAAAAACACGGCTGAGCAGACCTAACGAATGAATACCTTGGCCAGGCCCGCTGCCATCTTCTCACACAGATGCAAAATGCATTTAAGAAAAGGCCATAAGCATATCTGCAATGGATCACCAACACCCCGCCCCCCCACCGGCAATGCCGTAGAAAAATAAAATACCCCCAGGAACGGAAGGTAAGAAGAGCAGGAACTGGGTTTTCCTAAGCCGTTTTGGTGGGCAAAACAAGGAAACGATGAGAGCAAACCTCCGGCTCGAACTCCAGCATTTCGAAATGCGACGCGATTCCAAACGCTGCGCTTTTTAGAGCGAGAGCCGGACAAGGTGCAAAACGTTTAATGCAACTGCTAAAGGGGTGGTTTTATTTCACGGGCGGGGTTAGTCTTCCTATTTCTGTGAAGAAGTCACGATTTGTCCTCCAATCAAAACGTCTTGCCAAATCCTTCTGCCCCCAGTCGCACCCCCAAAGCCAAAAAAAGAGCTGACGGGGCTGGTGGGATTTGAGCCCCGAAGCAGCCACGGAATAAGAGAGAAGGGTTGGCGAACTCGGGGAAGCCGACATCGTGCAAAAATCCAAACAAAATGAAGAATAAGGGAGCAGCCAAGGGTCCCAGTGAAACAACCCAGCCCCCCAAAGATGCCCATGGACCAGACATGGCCCCAAGAAGCGGGCACTAGAAGGGGAGTGGAATGATGGATTTTATGAAAGGGTGTTGTTGGCTGGCTGGGTCTCCTAACATTAGCAGCATCCCAGAACCCCCCTTCTAAAACAGTAATACAGAACAAAACAGCCTTTGCTGCCCTTCAGATGCTGGGGAGGGGCACTCCCAGGATGCCTAGCCAACCCAGCAAATTTGGAGGGGGTGGGGGCCGGAATTAAGATTCACACTGACAGTCAAAATTTGGGAATGACTTAAATGAAACAGGTTAGGGGAGTTTCTCAAACTTGGCCACTTGAAGATGTGCGGACTTCAATTCCCAGAATTCCCCAGCCAGCACGCTGGCTGGGG